TGCTCGATTTCTAATTTTCTTTTTTTTTTCTTCGATAAAATCTACCTATTGGTACGTACTTTTTTTTCCTTTTTTTTTCCTTTTTTTGGCTGGGCGCATGGGATTTACGCGTAACCGAGGACACTTTTTTTTCTGTTTTTCCATCTTTTCTTCATTATATTTCCCGTGGCTTGCCGCTGCGTGGGCCGCGCTGCGGTCTCTGGCCTGAGTTGTGCCCTGCCTGTTCCGCTCCGCGTCCCTGCTGTGCCTGCGCGTGTGCTCTCGCATGCCTTCCTGCTCTTCCCTTCTCTTTCCGTTGCGCGTCTGCAGGCACACACGCAACCGCGTGCGCGCGGGGCTCCTTTCGTGGTCGGCGCTGCCGCTGCCGTTTCCTTCCGGGGCCGCGGAAGCGGGGAGGAGGGGGACGCCAAGGGCGGGGGAGCGCCCCGCGGCCGAGTCCCGCCTTCTCTTCCGCGCGTGTGGCGGTGCGGTGTGCGCCCCTCCGCTCCTCGCGCCGCTCTGCGCCTGCGGCTGCCCCTCCGCGTGCGTCGCGGCGGCCGAGGAGGAGGTGGATGTGCCGGTGGATTTCTCGTGTGCGGACGCTGCCGACAGGTGAAGTTGGCGTGTCCCCGGCGAGAGTGCCTGGCAGAAGTGCGCATTCAGTTTGGAAGCGTCTTTCAGGAGGAGTGGGGCCATTGACGACGCGAGTGACTCCCTCTGCGCCTGGGCCGGGACTCTGTACGGCTCCGCCGCGTCGCCCAACGGTCGCTGCTCTGCAGCCGCAGCGCAAGAAGTGCTTGCCTCCACGTTGCAGTGCAAGACGAAGGAGGGCAGTGGGGTGCACAGGCGGCGGCTCAAGGCAAATGACGGGGCCTTGGGCGCGACTGCCACTGTTTCGGGCAGCGACTTGCCTGGCGCGCTGACGCAGTGCGAGGTGTCAACGCCCAGGGGAGCCGCGGGAGTCGTGCACACGGATGGGCCGCGAAGGGATCCGCTGCGGGGGGCAAACTGGGGACGAAGGCAGAAGGTCCGAAGGGCGCAGAGTTGCAGGGCGAGACCGCGGAAGCGAGGACCTCGCAGCGGGGGTGAGTGCAAGTGGGGCCGAGGAGAAGGGGGAGGGCGAAGCAGCGCCGCGGCACCCGATCAGCCGCGTGAGGTCGAAGGGTCGCAAGCGTCCGCAGCTTAGCAGGGCCGCTCCGACGCGTCCTGTCGCACGGCTTCAGCCGGCGGGGCTGGCGGAGCCCCAAATGCGGCCAGCGCCACTGGGGGCAGGACTCCGACACACGCGGACAGAGCGGTGCCCCGTCGGTTCGTTTTTGCTTGCAACGTTGCTGCTGCCGCTCACCGCCGCCGTTGCCTCCGCCGCTTGCTGATTCCGGGGGCACCCGCACACCCGCACGCCTCCTCGCAGGGACGACGCATACCGTGCGTGAGTGCCTTCTTTTTTCGTGGGAGCCCATGCGGGCCCACGTCCCCCTCCCGTGCTCGAAGGGGTGTTTTTGATTTTCGCTTTTCTCTCCTTCCCCGCTGCTCGCTTGCCACGCACACAGCCACGAGCGACGAGCTTCCGCTCCTCCTTGCGGCTGCCGCCCACACACGCCGTGCCGGCCTCGTGGACGTGCTTCGCACGGAATGCCCCAAAGAGGCACGAGGCCCGGTCACAGT